TGTTTTGATACATGTAGATCATGTTTATTCATTTTTCCATTGTACAACATTCTTTTGAGTGAATATGTTTTACTCTGTTAATGGATATTAAGTTGGTTTTTACTATTTCAAACAGCGCTGCTATGAATTTTAATTATTCTAAATTCTGCTAAAGATGGAGAATTTTCTTAGAAAGGTTGGTCATGTATTATTCAGAAAAAGCAGCAACTAAAGATAATGGAAAGATGATAAAATCAAATGTGAAAGCAAAACATTTGGGATTTTGAGAAATTGACATTTTTGCCCTACATTAAATTTATAGCAGTGCACATCTCTAAACTAAATATAATGGACCTGGGTGTAACTGCACGTTGGATTTGCAGGGTAATTAGGCTTTATTCTTGTGATTTATATTTATCTTTGCTACCCATCTTTCTCCATTATTATGGGTACTATTATTATGAATGCATCAGTTCAGTCTGCCATAAATTAGAGCAGAGAATAACTCCCCATTGATATCATTGAGAACATTTATACAATTTTGTTTTGCTGATGAAAGGAGAATGCACTTTCTGCCCTCATTATGAGAAAAAGTTGCTGTCAGCTCTCTCCATTTATGGGCTGTGTCTGTATCCACACGTGATTTGTATATGCACCAAAATTATTTTCATTTGAGTATTTGTGCAGGTATGTCTCGCCTTCACTTTACCAAGTAGATTTTATAAAGCTAATTACATATTGTACATATATAAATAACCTTTTTCAGTTCTTCCACCTGTTCTTATTCTTATATAATTCTCAGAAGAAATCCCAAGTAAAGAAGCTAGAATTTAAAGAGGCTGTAAAACATGTTCATAATACTTCATTACAGTAGACAAGGAGTCAGATATTGGCCTCAGGAACAAGCCCAAGGCCACACCCGTAGCCGTGGAGAGTGTACTGAGTACTCTGTACTGTGTACTGAGTTTGCTGAGTCACTGTAATGGTAAAGTCAACCTATTGTCAATTTGAGAGCTAAAGACTAAAATAACTACTTGATTTATATGCATTATATCCATTGTTCAGATAAAGAAACCAAGAGTAGGAAAAGTTAAATCATTTTAAGATGACAGTAAGTAAACAGCTAGCCTAACATACATTGGCCACACCAATACGTTCTGTGCTCTTTAAATGCAAAGAAAAAGAATATTTTTTGGGTTGTGGTAGCTGATTTAACATAATTTCAACCCCATAATTTCAACCACCAAATTAATTTGATCTGTAAAGCCAAAGCAATTAGAATACCTTTCAAGAGTCTATAAACAGCAACTAGAAGGAATAAGTACTTAGCAAATGTGTATGTCCATTTAAAACATTCACAGTAATGATTCACCAAAGTGTCTGAAACTGTTGTTTCTGTTTTAAAGTAAATTGAGTTTTTTCTTTTGTTGTTGTTACTTGTGTAAGCCAGTGTTGAAGAAAGAACCACATCCAAATACACCATTTGTTCAAGAGACTAAATACAGATATAAATGATGTAGGCATATAGATATGGACAAGCAGTTGACGTGTTTTCAAAGCAGAGACAACCCTTTCTCAGACCTCTTCAGCTGAATTTAGGAAAAGAAATGGAGATTAATCACCCAGACAGGATAGTGTCCTACTCACAGTCTAGAGAGTGGATTTATTTATAGCTTTGGAGCAGTCGGCAACATGCCACTGTTTTTGCACAGTCTATGAGCTACGAACGGGTTTCATAATTTTAAATAGCTTTTAAAAGTCAAAAGAAGAATAATATTTCAAGTCACATGAAAATAGGGCATGTTAAATTTGTGAAATTCAAATTTCAGCATCCAAAATTCATCTCATTGGAACACAGTCATGTTCATTTGTTTATGTTTCCCCCACACCCCCTGTGGCTGCTTTTGTGACATAAGAGCAAAGTTGAGTGGTTGTGACAGAGCCCAGATGGCCTGCCTGGCATATCTACCATTTAGCCCTACTTTTCCAGAGCTTGCACTAGAAGGAGTAAGAATACAGACTTCGGGGTCAGATGGAAGTGGGTCCACAATTCAGTCAGGTAATGCCTTGACCATTTTTATGAGAAGCCAGTAGACAAGATATCACCATGTAGTCCTGGCTGCTCTGAAACTCACAATGTAGATAAGGCTGTACTGTGCTCTTAGAAATTCTCCTGCCTCTGTCTCTGAAGTGCTTGGATTAAAGGTGTGCGTTACCATGCCAAACTTTTGACTGGAGCTTTCTATGAAGGAGGAGTAAGGATTTGAGTCTGATGGTTCTACTTGACAGTATGGTATCTGAAAACATAAGACTTCAACCCAGTGATGTACTTAAGTACAGTGGCTAGAGCAACTTTTCTCAACATTTCTTCAAATGTCATTTATACAAGTAAGGATCCTAGATTACAAATAATAGCATTCTCAATGCAAACTAGCTTAAACTGTCTCAACACTCTAAACCCATTTTCAAACCTATTGCTCTGAACACTCTGCCTCCTTCCCTGAATTTGCTCTGTCCTGCTGCTATCCGAGGGGCATGGCTGCAACAGTGTCTAACATATGGTCATCCCAGTCATGGAGCCAAGACCTGAATTTCATTGCTATAGCCACCCTTGGGTGTTGTGGCTGTCCTTGAACCATTAACAGTAATAAAGGCTATAGGTCTGGCTTTCCCCAGGCACACCAAGGTTAAGATAAGTTAGATACTAAAGGAAACTCAGCATCATCCACCATAAAAATCTGTGAGATAGCATCTGAAAAGATGACTCAGCAACTAAGAGGACTGGCTACGTTCCAGGTTTGATTTCTAACATCTACACGTGGCTTACAACTGTATGTAACTCCAGTTCCAGGGGATCAGACAACGTTTGCCTGACCTCTGTGGGTACCACAGACACAGTGCAGAGTAATACATGCAGACAAAAAATCTATACAGATAAAAATAATAAATTAAAAAATCTTAAATACTACTTATGGTATGTTTATGAGCAAACATAGATCCATTAGTTATTTAACTTGTACTTCTTGAAAGTAGTGATGCCTGTTTTTTATCACAATAGCCAAACTGTAGTACCAAAAAGTCCATCAGGCAGAATTTGACTCCATTCTTACATATATGAAATCCTAGGGTTTTAATCATAAACACTGGGTCTCAAGCATCTGAGTTCTAACATTATCAAGATCCATAGTCTAGGAGCTGACCAAACTGCCTGTGGTGCCTGTGGTGCCTGTGGTGCCTGTGGTGCCTGTGGTGCCTGTGGTGCCTGTGGTGCCTGTGGTGTATTAGATCAAGAGCATCCCTTTTGGAAGGTGCACTTAGCCTTCTGACATCATGAATGCTGGTAGCCTTCAAGGGATTCTTACACATCAATACAAATACAATACTAGGCCTTTTCAAGAACATTACTTCCTTAAAAGAATTCTTATGTTCTGGACTAAGGGTGTCACTTTGTGGTAAAGAGCTTGCCTAGCACTTGTGATAGCCTGGGCTCAATTCTCAGATCTGAACCAAAACAAACAAACAAAACCCCCAAAACCGTAAGTTCTTTTTACTCCAAGTAATAGCTGATGTGATTATGTGTCAGGATACCTTTATAATGTGATTTTGGCTAGGCTTAGTGGGTATAAGAGGGTTCAGACTTACAGCAATCTCTTAATTGCCCATAATTGGATACTCTTATAGATAAATAAAATAAATAAAAAATCAGAGGTTTGCTTTTAACTGGAAAGCCATCTCCAAGAAAGCTTTAAGTGTTACGGAAGCAAACCGAAGAGGCTGTGCAGCAGTGTCCAGCTGGCAGAGTTCTGTGGCCATTTTGCTTCTTAGCTCTGATGATTGTTATGGCATGCGCTCAGACCAAGTGCTTCTTGGGTCTTTATTTGTCAGTGTACAATTAGACATCCCTGCCATGTGTGTATGTATCACTTGTTTCTTGAAGTGAAATTTAATTCAAACCTAAAAAAGAAGAAAAAAAGATATCTCACAAAGTGTCTAATTCTTTACAGGGCTATAGAAAATTGGGGACTCACTGCCCTTTTGAGCTGAAAAGTGCATCCTGTTCTTACAACTGCCCCCTTTCTTCCTTACACACTCACTCTGCCGCACTCACCTTCTCACTGCCTGTGGCTCTGCAGCCAAGTGAGAACTAGCAAAGGATGTAGACACTAAGACCCTCTCCTCACAGGCCTGGCTCTGGGAATGTCTTTCTTTAAATCAAAGCAGCTAATTAACTTCCTTGAAACCTCATGTTTGCATCGCCTGGGGAAGGCGAAGGTGACACCACCAGCTTAGAGACTTTTAATTAGACTAGGGCTTTTAAAGGCAAGAAGCAATTCAGTCTGTGCCACTGTGAAATGGGGAACAAAGAAAAGCTGGGCAAGGAAAGAGGACACATTTAGGTTTAAGTTTTAAATATCATGAATTCTCAGATCAGCAGCCATTGGCTTGTGCTTTAAAGTTCAGAATAAATTAAATTTTCATTACCTACCAGTCTGAATAATCTTTCCCATGCCAAAGTTAAATCAGCATGAACTTGGTTTCAGTCATCTCACTTCCAGGGTCTATGCAACCCTAATCACAGTCATATGGATTAGTCATTATACATATGGTTGTGTGTTGCAGAGGAGTTGAGTATAATCCACATGTAAAACTGCATCTCTATAAAAAGGATATTAACTGATACCTCGGAATCCTCAGCCTACAGGGTGGCCCTTCTGATAACTAGAAATGGAATTGCAAAATGCGTTTATCTTTTTACTTCTTTCTTCCTTCACTCTGAGACTCTCCAGTCCTGGGGGATGAGGTGGTGGGAACCACTGATGATTAGAAACTATTGCGGCAGCAGTTAATAACTGATGATTTACATATCAAAGTCTTTTTTAGATACAAAGTAGTTGTCCTAAATTGCTCTGTTCTGAATGTATAATATTTATTTGTAAATACTGCTTAGCACCAATGCTACATGTTAAGTATGGAGAAATTTTTTATCCTTCGACAGAACCTGCTTCTTTTCTTTCCCGCAGGAATGCTTCACAGAATCTCCATTGATTTGTGAGTAATCAGAAATGCAAATAGCTCCTCAGGAATCAAGCTAAGCTCAAAGAAATTTTACTTACCAGTTTCAAGGCATGCAACATGGAGCGCAAGACTGAGGGAAAGGGAAAACACCAGCACAGCTTGAACTTACTAGATAAAATTAAGACTATGAAAGAGTTAGAAGAAATGATTGATGTAGTGCTCATAGCAGAAGGGGAGAAATTTCCCTGCCACAGACTGGTCCTTGCTGCCTTTAGTCCTTACTTCAAGGCTATGTTCACTTGTGGACTCCTCGAGTGCACTCAGAGGGAGGTCATACTCTATGATATCACAGCAGAAAGTGTGTCAGTGATACTAAACTACATGTACAGTGCTGTTCTGGAGATCAATAACGCCAACGTACAGACTGTAGCAATGGCCGCCTATTTTATGCAGATGGAAGAAGTCTTTAGTGTGTGCCAAGACTATATGATGGACCACATGGATGCCTCCAACTGCATAGGAATTTATCACTTTGCAAAACAAATTGGAGCAGAAGATTTATCTGATCAGTCAAAGAGGTATTTATATCAGCACTTCGCCGAGGTAAGCCTTCATGCAGAAATACTAGACATCGAAGCTCACCAGCTTCTGGCACTTATTAAGTCTGATGATCTAAATATATCCAGAGAAGAGAGCATTCTGGACTTGGTTCTGAGATGGGTAAATCATAACCAAGCTTTGCGCACAGAGCATCTCGTTGAGCTTTTGAAGCAAGTCAGATTGGAACTTATAAACGCTTCCTTTCTAAGACAGGCCCTCAGAAGGAACACGATGCTCCTCTGTGATGGCAGTTGCATTGATATAATCCAGAATGCGTTCAAAGCCATCAAGACGCCCCAGCAGCACTCCTCTAACCTTCGCTATGGCATGGAGACCACCAGCCTTCTGCTTTGCATTGGGAACAATTCTTCTGGAATCAGATCACGGCACAGGAGCTATGGGGATGCCAGTTTTTGTTATGACCCCGTGTCACAGAAGACCTATTTTATCTCATCACCCAAGTATGGGGAGGGTTTGGGAACAGTGTGCACTGGGGTAGTCATGGAAAACAATACTGTAATTGTGGCTGGAGAAGCAACTGCCACTAGGCTTTCCAGGCAAAAGAGCAAGAATATTGAAATTTATAGGTTTGTATCTCATAGCAGATTTGGTAATTTTTGTTTTGTTTTGTTTTGTTGAGATAGGGTCTCATTATGCAGCCATGACTGTCCTGGAACTCTCGGTGTAGACTAGGCTGGTCTGAACTCACAGAAATCTCTGCCTCTGCCTCCTCAGTAGACTTTATATTTTTTTTAAAATCTTGTTTTGACACTAGCGGTTGAAGAAGTACTGCTGAGGGATCACATCTTAAGTATATAGTAACAATTTAATAGAATTCATAAAAGTAACATACATACATCATATTATACACCCACAATATCAATATAACATAATATTTATAATAGTCATTCATATTTTAAAATTATTTTCTCTTAATTGTTCTGTGTTGTCGTTGTTCTTGTTTAGCTGGCTTTAGGCTCTATTAGGGATCAGACTCATGGCCTTGGCCATACTGAGCAAGTGCTCTATCACTGAGTCCCACCCACAGACTGCCTTTTCCCTTAATCATCAAGATATAATTGAATTTTTAATGACTTTAATATATCTATGTTAGGATACTATTGTATTTTTCACTCTTGGCCTTAATCATCTATATGAGCATGCATAATACATATTATGTAACTTGTAATAACAAGAAAAATTATTTGTTTCTATAAACTTATGAGTGCTAAGATTATAAGCACGTGACACCACACCTGGCTAGAACCTTTGTCTTAACCAGGAAGTTTTCATTCTGTATCCTCAATTTGTGAATCTTTCCTAAACCTTCAGCATTACAGAACTTTTGAAGAATGCTTCAATTATAGTAAGAGGAACAAGAACACTATGCTTAGACATAGTTTATTGTCTGTGTCATAATTGTGAAAACACATTTACTTTATGATCTAATTGTAAATATTTGTGAGTCCTTACTGTTTAAATCTAACTACATGAGTATGAAATATGCACATAGAATATATACCAAAAGGTGTAACCTCCTGCAGCATCCTTCCCTTGTCAGATCCCTCTTGTCTGGGTTTATTCAGATTTTTCAGTCAGAATGCAATTCTTTGTGACAGGAAAAATGGGACAAAGAAAGAACATAGAAATCTACTGTTGCTTCATCATGTATTAACGCTACACATCTATTCTGAGCTTTTTCTGTCTCTTTTGCATAGTCATGGCTTAAGGAATATGTCTCAGCACCTCTAATGGGTAGGGGGTTACAGAATCCTGAATAAATGGCCTGGATCCACACTCATGGTGATCAAGCATGTCACAGGCATGTCACAGGCATGTCACAGGCATCCTTCCTGAGAAGGACCAGTAGACTGCAAAGTGGATATGAAGGCCTTACGGGGGAGCAGCTCTGATTTTCCTAACAGGATTCTGCAGTTCTGTTTCCTGGTGTGGCACATGAGACAGGGTTTCTCTGTGTAGCCCTGGCTGTCCTGGAATTCACTCTGTAGACCAGGCTGGACTCGAACTCAGAAATCTGCCTGCCTCTGCCTCCCAAGTGCTGGGATTAAAGACGTGCACCACCACCGCCCGGCCTTCTTTCCTTTCTTGCAGCAATGTCTAACTGCATACTCCCTTGTTTCCTTTTTAAACTATCTTAGATTCAGCCAGAGTCCTGTCACCAACAGCTTCTTAACATTGGTCAGAGTTAAGAACAAAGTTACTAGTTTCTTCTACCTTTAACTTTGATGTAAAACTGTCAGAAAGGCAAGTATAGTCATTTATCAGAAGCATTGCCTTGGGCGTAAATGAGACGTGCTTCCTCATAGTTGTCTACTGCATTGGACGTAGAAAGCCCTGAGAGTCCTGTCTCCCTCAGATCCTTGTCTCACAAGACGTTTAATCTCCTAGCTTCACTGCAAGTCACTTTGGTGGCAATTTTGTGATAAATGAGGGAAATTAATTGTCCTATAGTAGACCCTTGCAATATTATTTTATAATAATAGTTTACTATTTTATTATTCCTTATCATTTTGATCTTTGTCCAGATGTTTTTCAGAGTGCACAGTTCATAGATGTCCATGCAGGTGTATTTCTTCTTGACTTAAAGTAGAAAATGGACAAAATAGCCTTGTAGGCTGTTCCTTTCCATCTTCTTTCTTCATTTTCCCACTTTGGCATATGAAATAAGTGAGCATGCACCAATTTCATCCTGTCATGTTGTCTTAAACTATGCCTTAGAAAGCCCAAATCCATCTTTGGTTCTATTTATATATTCGCTCACTTAGCTCTTCTTAAGGGGCACCAGCATATAGACACATAATCTTCCTCGTCTTTAAAAATCCATACAATTAAAAATCAGCGAAAATACTCCTTGCAATTCCAGGAACTCTGGTTTCCTTTCTAGAACTGCATAGAAGACAGCTGCTGGGAGGTTTGATAAGTCTTCCTTCAGCGGTGACAAGCTACACATGCCTCTATGAAAGGAACACGCCTTTCAACTTCCCTGTCAAGCCTGAGGCAGAATGTTCTCTGGGGAATGTGAGAGTTGGCCCAGAACAAGTGGGAGAAACTCTGATTCGATGACTAACTGTCGAATGTTCCTTAAAAACTGTACTTTGTACAAAGCACACGTAAGTGCTGCAGGCTTGGTCTTGATTCCAACCAGAACACCTCTTTTCTTATTTTCCATGTTCCTGGGCTTTGTTTTATGTTCCACATAAACTTTTCTAGATTTTTCTGATTTTATCCCACTATCCCCGTGTTTCTGTCTTTCTCCCACCAAATGTCTCAAATTACAATTGGAAAAAATATACTTATAAGCCAAGCATGATGGCATATATCTGTAACCAACCATCTAAGAAGCTGAGGCACGAGGATGGAAAGTCATAGGCCAGCTTAGGCTGCATACTGAGACTTTATTTTTTAATAAAAGACAAGTATTATGAGGAAAGACAAAAGACAGCCATAAACTAGTACACTCAGGGGCCTTATAATATGCCTAATAATTGGTTACTGTGTTGGGTTCCAGAATACACTGACAAGACATCTGAGAACCCACATCTCTCAAGACTCTATAAACAGATATAACTATTCATGAAGGAAATTACCCAAATAACCATATCTAGTAGATGAAAACAGACATTAGATGCCCAACAGACATCTATAGATGGGTTTTTTACACAATGCTCCTGGCCCAGTTTTAAACCAAAACTATAACTTAAATAGCAACCAGGCAAGATGATACACACCTTTAACCCCAACATTTGAGGGACCAAGGCCAGTCTGGTCAAAAGCCAGGGCCACACAGAGAGGCCCTGGTTTTTTGATTGATTGTTTGTTTTGTTTTGTTTAATCTACCTATGTAGAATTTATAGTTAGAAATTCTAAATTGAAATACTTTAAATTCTCTGCCTTAAACCATGATTCCTTCAATGTTGTACTAAAGTGCTATTCCTTATCCAAATAGTCAAGATAGTGTGTATTTTTGTCTCTTTATTTGTTTATGTTAAAGTTAAAAACTGATTTTCTGAAAGATTTTCCTATTCCCGATTTTTGTTCCCAGAATTAGGAAATGTTAAAGACTAGTCTGAGTAAAGTATACTTTTTCTACATGTCTGGTTTTTTCAGGGAGATGAAGAATATGTTTCAGCACATTATGTTTTGCTCATTGATCCTTGGAGAAAAAAGAAAGCAAATATATATTACCATCTTTTCTCCTCCAGTTAGAAGAGCCAGGTCACATTGTTTTGTGTTGGAAAAAAGTTAAATGTGTTTCTTGGATAATTTGTTGCCATGGTAACTCTAATCCTGGATATCTCTCTCTCTCTCTCTCTCTCTCTCTCTCTCTCTCTCTCTCTCTCT